CGCAACTAGCATCAGCAGGATTGCATTATAAAAACACAAATATGCTCCAATACGTTGAACCAGCTCTACCTGAAACTGAAGAGTCAATGATATTTTTCTACATCAGAAATTTGAAAAAGGGACACAACATCTTTAGAGAATATTAATTTCTAAGGCGGGTCAAGTAGTAGATACTGAATGGAGAGGTGCCTGAGGAGTGTCTTTGCTTGCAGAAACCACTTTAAAAGAAAAACAGTTCTCCAGTTAACAAGCCTGAAAGCACAGTGGTAACTTCAAATCAAGGGAAAGCCTATTGCCGTAGCTTAGGTATTGTATTAGAACCATTTAGTCTGGAGAGAGCAGGCACAAATCAAGGGTTTAAAGAGAACAGAGCCTGAAGATGATCTTCAAATAAATTTGTCAAAGCTAAGTGGTCTGCTTCTGGATTACTCTCAACTCTTCTCAGTGTAAATCACTTGCACTTGGTCACTACCCCAAATGAACCCCTTTATAAAACACTTTGTTGCATTTAAACAGCTGTTACTAGTTATTTACCTCATTCTCAGAATGCAAACTTCAACCATCACCCCTAGATTCATAGATTCCAGAGTCGGAAGGGACCTCAGGGGACACTCTGGTCCGACTCCCTGCCCCTGGCAGGCAAAAAGAGAGTCACCAACCCTGGGGTCATGTGATCCCAGCCAGGTACCTGTCCAGCCTCCTCTTGAAGACCCCCAAGGATGGGGCAAGCACCACCTCCCTCAGAAGCCCATTCCAGATTCTGGCAACCCTGACAGTGAAGAACTTTTTCCTAATGTCCAACCTAAACCATCTCTCTAGTAGCTAATGGCCATTGTTTCTTGTTGTTCCAGGGGGTGCCCTGGTGAACAGATCACCTACTTCATGTTGCTCTCCCCTTATGAATTTGTACACTGTCACAAGGTCCTCTCTCAGCCTTCTCTTGGAGAGGCTGAAGAAGTTAAGGTCCCTTAGCCTTTCCTTGTAGGGCCTGCCCTGCAAGCCTCTAATCAGGCAAGTGGCTCTTCTTGGGGCCCTCTCCAGGTTGTCCACATCCTGCTTGAACTGCAGTGTCCAGAACTGGACACAGTACTCCAGCTGCGGTCTGACCAATGCCACATAGAGGGGGAGAATCACTGCCCTGGACCAGTTTGTGAAGCACCTACAGACGCACAAGTTGCAATTGGCTCTGCCAACTGCTTCATCACATTGACAACTCGTGTTAATCCTGGAGTCAACAGTGACTCCAAGATCTTTTTCTGCTTCAGTGGTGCTGAGGTCACCCCCCAGCCTGTAGGTATGAAGGCAGTTCTTCCTCCCTAGATGCAGCACCTTGTACTTGTCCTTATTGAATTGCATCCTGATGCTCTCTGTCCACTTCTCCAACCTGTCTAGGTCAGCCTGGATCTCGTTCCTCCTCTCCAGGGTGTTAGCTGCATGCCATAATTTTGTGTCGTCTGTGAATTTGGACAGGGTGCTTCCCACCCCCTCATCCAGATCACTGATAATGTTGAACAGCACCAGCCCCAGAACTGAGCCCTGAGGGACTCCACTGCCCACATCTTTCCAGGTTGACACCAACTGGTCCACTACCACCCTCCGAGTGCGACCCTCGAGCCAGTTTGCTACCCAGTCTACCGTGTAATCATCCAAAGCAAATCCCCTCAGTTTATTTATAAGGATGGTACGGGATACCTCGTCAAAAGGCCTTCTTGAAGTCCAGATAGATAACATCCACCTCGACTCCTGCATCTAAACAATTGGTGGCCTTGTCGTAAAAGGAAACTAGGTTAGTCAGGCAGGACCTGCCTGCTAAAAACCCATGTTGGTTACCCTCATGCTCAGGTGGGGTGGGCTTCACCTCTCCCCCAAAGGTAAGTGTGTGTTCTCTTTCAGGTTGGCCGATCTCCTCCAGTGGGCTTTAAACTAGGTTCACCAGGAGAAGGGGAGGATGAGTATGGAGGGAGCCACAGAACGCCAAACCAAGAGACACCCACAAGATCAGCCCAGCTTTGTAGCAAAGATCCTATTAGACAGCAGTTTAAGGGAGGACCAGGGACAGCCACCAGAAGAATTAGGTGTATATCCACAAATGCCAGAAGCATGGGAAACAAGCAGGGGGACCTAGAGCTCTTGCTAGCGAGTGACAACTTTGACCTAGTGGGACTAACTAAAACCTGGTGGGACTCTTCTCATGACTGAGTGGTGGGAATAGAGGGCTATAGGTTGTATAGGGGAGACAGAGTAGGGAAAAAGGTGGGGGAGCTGCTCTGTCAAAGAACAGTACACATCTTCCCTAATCAAATTAGGGGCAGAGGGTGGTCAAGCAGACTCTGTGGGTTAGGATCCAAGGGGCTCAGGGTGAAAGGGATCTGGTGGTGGGGGTCTACTACAGGCCACTACCCTAGGATGATGAGCTAGACCAGGAATTTTCCAAGCAGCTCAAAGAGGCTGTGAGGTCTAGAGATATGGTAGTCATGGGGGACTTTAACTACCCAGACATATGCTGGGAGGAGCAGTCAGCTAGATCTAACCGCTCTCGCAGGTTCTTAACCTATATTCAGGACCTCCACAGGAGGTAAGGTGTCCCACCAGGGGCAGCACCTTGCTCGACTTGGTGTTGGCCACAGGGGATGACCTGGTGGGGGACCTGTGGATTCAAGGCAACTTAGGGGACAGCGACCACCAAATGATAAAATTCACTATCCAACAAAGGGCGGGCATTATACCCAGCAGGGCATGGGTGCTAAACTTTAAAAAAGCTGACTTTAATAGACTCAGGGGATTGGTTAGCAGGGTGCTAGGAGCTAAGAACTTAGATGCATTGAGGGTCCAAGATGGGTGGACATTCCTCAAGGTAACCACTCTCAGAGTGAGTCAATTCCATGGCAGAGGAAAGGAGGCAAAGGGGGCCAGGAAGCCCCTTTGGCTAACCAGGGGCATCCAAGATACCTTAAGGGCAAAAAAAAAAAAAAAAGAGAGGCATACAGGAAGTGGAAGCAGGGGGTAGCTAGCAAAGAGGAGTATACTTCTTTGGCCAGCACCTGCAGGGAATCGGTCAGGAAGGCCAAGGCAACTCTAGAACTCAAGCTAGCGTCACGGATTAAGGACAATAAAAAGTCCTTCTTTAGGTACATTGGGAGCAAAAACTGGGTGCGGGGTAGCATAGGACCCATACAGGACAGGCAGGGGGGCTTAGTGACGGACAGCAGGGACGAGGCAGAGCTCTTCAATGAGTCTTAAATGGGAATCTAGGCGAGCCCTCAACATACATCATGGACACCAACAAAGGGAACATCAGCCAAACGGTCAGTGCTGACACGGTAAAAAGACACTTGGAGGGACTGGACGTATTCAAATCACTGGGACCGGAGGGACTCCACCCATGGGCAATGAAGGAATTAGCGGGGATCATAGCCGATCCGCTGGCAAGGATATATGAGCGCTCATGGTGCTCGGGTCAGGTTCCAGAGGATTGGAAGAGGGTTAACTTCATCCCAATCTTTGAGAAGGGGAGGAAGGAGGACCCAGGGAACTATAGACCAGTCAGTATTACCTCTATCCCTGGGAAAATCCTAGGGAAAAAAAAAAACCAACAACAACAACAAAAACTTAAAGGAGCACATCAGTGGGAGCCCACTGGCTACTGTGATGTGGAGGGGTAACCAACATGGGTTTGGTTAAACAAGGCAGCTTAAACAAAAGATTAAACAAAAGCAGCTACGCATATTTAAGAACACACACACACACACACACACACACGCACAAACACACACACACACTTGAATACAACTCATTTAGGAGTACATACTACTATCCTGTTTTCTCCTTCTAGGAACATTTAATGGAAGTCCATTTTCTTGTGTAACTCACTGTAAGCAATTGCAATCTACTACTAGGTTAGCGCTCAATATTAGTTTCCATCCTATACAAGATGCAAGAAAATTTTGTAATGGAAGATCTCAATCTAATTTACAGTAAAATGAATGCGTGTCCAGGAGGTAAATGTTATACCTGATTATACCAAAGAAACACTTATATAACCATTTTAAGATGAAACTGAATACACCCCTCCTGGCTCAATTTAAGAGTCTAACAATGGTTCTGGACAGATAACATGAACAAATTAGCAAGTAACTTCTGAGATGTTAATGCCTCTTTCCTATTCTTTGCTAGTCTCAAATTAACTTATTGGTCATTTGTCCTGCATGGCTTTTCAATGCCTAGCATATTAGGGTCCATGAACTCTAAAAATGTGATAGCTAGATGCTAAACAAATTTTTGCTGCTGGCTGATGTATTATCAGTAGAAAAAAAAAAATCTAAAAAAAAATCCTAGAATTTTGGAGCAAGTTCAACATACCCGGAATCTGTAGAGCTGCATTCTCAAAAAGGTACAGAAATTAGCAAAGATGCTGCTTCCCTCATTTCCTCCTCCTTCCAAAATTAAACAATTAGACCCAAAGTAAGAAAAACAAGGAATAAATTTAGCCCGCTACTTTATTTCCTGGAAGAGCAGAAACTTCAGCAAATCACATTTCAGATTTCAAAGCATAAAACCTATTGCTACTCCCTCAAACAGTCTTCCTGACAACCTTAGCATACTGTTCCCGCAAGCCACCTTATAGTACCTAACCTGAAGATGCAATAATCCAATGTAGACAGTAGGAATGTATGCTTCCAAGAGGTGACCCGGTGACAGGCTCTAGTGGTGTACAGCTCAACAGACTTCCAATAATGAGGATACTCTGGCTTGTGGAGTAACTGGCTGCAAGTAGTTTCTTCTTGAACTGGAAGGAACAGGTTATGAATATTATCATACTGTTTGTAACATTGAAGGTGCAAGTAGAATCAAGCTGAAGCCAAGTCTTGTAGAAGTGATTCAGCTACAATGTAATATCTTCCATTACTTGAACTGCACAGAGCATACTGAAGGGTTTAGCATTAATGTGCTCCCATGTAAACCATTCTAAACCACTAAAATATTGACTACAAACACCAGAGTCCATTTGAACAATTTATTAGTATGCTTGGTTTACAAGTTTTAGAAAAAGAATCCCAGGATTTTGCCTCCTGTGTGTTTTCGCCTAGCTTCCTCATGGTCCATGATGCCAGCTGAGGTTGTCAGCACTATGTACCTAATAAGGAAAAGAAAATAATCTCAATAGCATATTATGATAATTTTGTCTTCCAGTCATGCATCTTGTCCTCTATTTTTGTGGTGTAAAAGGCAACAGACTCTTTTGCCAATGCCCAACCCATGGAAATGCATACTGCAACAATTCTGAACTACCAAAGACGAGTCCCTCATAAAGATACTATTTTGAAATGTTTAAGGATAAGTGAACCTTATTTATGCCAGTAATTTTCTCTTTATATTCCCACACTTGGTAGTGGAGGGTATACCTGCATCAGAAATATAGCTAGTAACGTTTTGGGGGCTCTGATACTCAACAGGCTTTGCAACACTAGTCACACTGACATAGCTCAATATCAGGAAGTTAGAACTGCTCTGATCTGCAGACAACTGAAGTAACTTCAGGTATTTGACATCTACTTATGGTAATCAACATACTTTATTCACACGTTAACACTGCCAGTTTGTGAATATTAGTAAATGGATTAATGTCACCAAGTGTGTATCAATCTCAGTATACTGCCATATATTAGCTTCTAGTTAAAATGAAACTAGTCAATGGATATGCACTGGAACTGCAGTGTTCATCTACAAAAGATTTTTTTCACAAACCTGAAAACGAGATTTTTCCTACATCAACATAAATAATCAAAGCCCACTTAAAATAATCACACTGAATTAGTATTAAAAGTTCAAAACTGTGTGGGTTAAAATATTGGCTCCTGTAAGTACCTGATGATTTGCATTATTTTCCTTCAGCATCCCTCCATTACCAAATTAGATACCACTCATTCATCACATTGAAGATCCTTTAAAAACTGCACTAAAGCCACTGTCTATAGTGATATTATTGCTACTTCTAGCAGTAGATAAAAGCATACTTGTGTACATTTAAACTGGCTTAAGCTCCAGAAGAAGCTATTAAAACAAATCTCAGGGAGAAAAGTTTGAAACTCAAAGTTAGCCTAACAAAAGACACTAGGGGAGGCAAGGAGACAGAACTCTCATGAAAACTAGTTTTTTTGTGCAGTTATTTCACTTAGAACAATTCATAAAAATTTGCACCATGAACTTCAACAATTTGAGCCTGACACTTACCCAAACTGACGTGAGGGCAGCAGGTTATTCTGCCATTTTTCCAGATCCTTCAGTTGAACATCAAATCTGGGACTGATCACACCACACTACAAAACAAAAGCCCAATACAGGCTGAATACTGACAAGGATCAATGGTGCTAGAGATACGGCATTTCAGTCTTTAGCTCTGCTTCAAATTTCTGACTCCAAGGGAATTAACTGTGCAACCAAGAAACCAACTTTTTTAGGCAGCAGAATATAAGATATCCAAGCATGGCCTTGCATCACTCCATCCTCTGTGCATGCTCTCATGAAGTTAGATGAGAATAAAGAACCTAATTATTCAGGCCTGACCTGCTTTGTCTGCTCTCTTCTTTTCAGTTGCAAAGACTGAAACTAAGTTGCTGCTGCAGCTAAACTCAGACAGCTGTACTGTAGGAGAATGCAAGAGCATGCTGCCTGCTACTAGAGAGTAAACATTGCCTTGATAATATTCTCACCCAAACTAAAATCACCCCAGAATCATGACCAAAAAAAATAAAAATAAAAAACAAAGAATTAGATGCCCTCAAGCTTTTAGGTTTTCAATTTGTTTGAGAAACTAAAGGAGGGAAAGAAACTAATAAAGCAACTTGCTCAAATCAGTTCAATGCAAGAACTAAAAAAAAAAAAATAGAAATTAAAAAAAATTAAGCTTTGATTAGTGCAGTTTGAAACCATGCCAACTTCTTGGCTTACTGTCATGTTAAAGCTCCCCAGCAATTCTAGAAGTCAGACATTTAACACGGATCAAACAGCAATTCCTGGGGCAAACAGTATATGTCTCACTGCACTGCTGAATGTTTCACCAAATCAAAGAACTATTAGAAGCATGTCATGTATGGCCAAGTCAAACACCATTCAAAAAGCCAACTACAAAACAGTGTGGCAATAGCATATTCCAAAGTAGAAAATAAGACCCACTGACTTACTAGTTAGCACAGAAAACTGTTAGGTTTCATCTTGTCAAATCCTGGTATTTAGTTTGACTGTTTTTACCCTACCCTGGTAACTTCTAGCTGTAAGACACGTTTATGAGAGCATGTTTCTACCCCCCCCCCCATATAAATGTTTCTGTTCTGCTCCCAAGCCTGCATAAATATGTTAACACATGAGGTAATTAACAGGCCCCAGGGGGCTGTCCTGGGCCCAGTATTGTTTAATAACTTAATTGATGATAGGACTGAGTGCATACTCAGAAGATCTGCACCTGACACCAAGTTTGGTGGAAATTTAGACACTCTGAAGGACAGGGCTAGGATCCAGTATGACCTGGACAGACAGGAGAAATGGTCTGCAATGTATCAGATTAAATTCTACAAGGACAAATGCGAAGTCCTGCAACTGGGACAGAATAAGCACATGCACAAGTACAGACTGGAGAATAACTGACAGGCTTCAGCAGTGCAAAGAATGACCATGGGACTATTGTCAATCATAAGCTGAATATAAGTCAACATTGTGCTCTTGTAAAAAAAGGGTAACAGTATGCAGGGTTGTACTAACAGGAGCATAACTTGCAAATCAAGGGAAGTCATTCTTCTGCTCTATTCAACACTGCTAAGACCTCACCTGGAGAACTGTGTCCAGTTTTGGGCCCCACACTTCCAGACGGTACATGGACAGTTTGGGAAGTCCAGCACTGAGCAACAAAAATGATCAGGGGTCTGGGAGACTAGACTTATGAGGAAAGCTCAAAGAGCTAAGGTTATTTAAACTAAATAAGAGAAGACAGGGGGGGGGGATTTTATAACAACCTTCAAATACCTGAAGAGCGATTACAGAGAGGATGGAGATGGGCTTTTCTCTGTGGCTGCAGGGGGATGATGCAATGTCCTCAAGCTGCAGCAAGGGAAGTTTAGAAAAGAGAACTGGAGAAACGTTCTACGATGGTGGTCAAGCAATGGAACGGGCAATCTGGAAAAGTTGCAGAATTGCCATCTTTGGAAACTTTGAAAATCAGGGTAGACAGACACCTGGCAAAGATGGTCCAGTCAGGTATAATCCTACCTTGAGCTGGGGACTGGACTAGATGACCTTGCAAGGTCCCTTACAGCCCTAGTTTCCTACAGTTCCTATGTTGAGTGCTTTGTTTCTAGTTAAACTGTTTCAAGTGAAAGAGTTCTGAAACAATGAAAGGATCTATCATTATTATGGCACATGTCAAAGACATCATGAGTTTATCCAATCCAGAGGATTTCCAAACAGGTTATAAAAAAAATCCTGACAACCTGATACTACATGAATGTCTTGCACAAAGCCAATAGTATCCTGACAGAAAAGGAGAAACACTGACATGACTAAAGGATGAACAGCTCAAAACCTCAATCAAAGCCAAGACCGATTAGCAGAAGGGATTGGGTTCTACACTTCTGTTCTCCTCTACAGATTCACTGTCGTTATGCATCACCTGGATAAGCGCACTTTTCTTCTTCATGACAAATGTTCCTTAAATGTCAGCGCATTAGACTTCTAGCCTCATTAGCTGTTTCATTATCATGTTGCTGCCTCAAAGGCAGATATCACTTTTCAGGGCAGAAGTGTGTGTGACTAGCCAGCACTCGACTAGAAAGAAACCTCTCAGGAAAAGTAGAAGAGAAAAGAGCTAACAAGACACATTCCATAAACTAAAGCTTATGCAAGAAGGTGCACCATTACAGCAGTTGTTCAAATGCACTTTTATTCATTCACAGGCAGAAAGAAGGAAGGAAGCCACCAACATCTAAATCAACCCCCACTTACGAAGCCATACAAAGCATACATCCATCATAACTTAAAGGAAGATCATCTCAAGGGGCGATTGGCAGCCCAGATGCATTTGGAAAAAGTATCTTGTGCCGGATTAGAATAATTTAGAAAATAAAAATATTCCAGTGCTAAATTAAAATCCTACCTTGTTAAGTCTGCCTGTGAGATTGACAACAATTTTCCCAGCTCTGTGATCATCAATGATCTCAAATTCGCCAATGTAACCTATGAATGAATAAATAAAGCAGATTACTCATGGAAGCTGATTGAAAACAAAGCAACACACAACCCCCACTCCTCCACTAAGTTACACTGGTGCAACAGGTACAGAAGCAATTATATATGGCAAAAATATTGTTTAGGAAATCATGAAAACCAAACCAAAATACCCAATCAACTTAGGGATACTTTTATTTGGTTTGGTCTAAGGCCTTCCTTTATCTGTGTAACTGTTTAACACTACTTCAAATTTTCTTACAGAAAGCCCCTATACTTAACTTACACTGAATATAAAACTAGGACTCCCCCTATGTTTTAAACACTAAACTAGATAAGACCTGAAACCCAGCAACATTTGCGGTATCATGAACTGTGCAAGATTTGTCCATGTAGGTTAACTTGCAAAAAACCAAAATTTGGCCAATTAGCTCAATCACAGCAGATCTGTACAGTTCACTTGTGCAAAAAGAAACAGAATAAATGCAACTTAAATTCACTTGGAAAAACAATATATGTATGAAATACTGACCAATGAATTATATCAGTATCTTCCCAGTATTTACATTGCTGCTTTCGACTGTGGCAGCAGACCCAAACTTTCCCAGCACTCTTCCTTTCAAAGGTGTTTAACCTAAACAAGTTTTTACTATCACCATCATTATAAACCTTAGCTGGAAATATCAGAGATGACAAATCTTAAGCTATAGGAGATATCTGAGATTACTACTATATACTAGTAACACCCTACTGTAGGATTTTCTACAAAAAAAATAAAAACAGATTTCAAGGACTTACCATGCTTCATCATCACGGTTAAGAACCGTACAATAACTTTTGAGCACGGTCTAATGAGAACTTGGCGCTTTCCTCGTTTCTCTGCATTGTTGATGCTTTTAAGAGCATCAGCCAGAACATTCATGCGCACCATGATGCCTGTGGGAAAAAAGATTAAGTTACATATACCAGCTGCGTCCCGTTTAACTACAGATACTTTTAGAAGCACCTGATTCCCCCCCAAATTTGCTGGACTCAGAACAAAAGTTAGTGTTTTGACAGAGCTAGCCAAGGGACCCAATTAGACCGTGAAGAGGCTGTTCTGCCAACAAGCAAATCAAATTAAGAACCCAGGATGATTCCAACTTATCACAGCCACGTTCAACATTTAGGATTTCATGCCATAAAAAGAAATGTGCATTGCTTTATATAATACAGGTATTACCCACCTAAAAGCACAGGAATGACATCCTGGTCAAGATCTCTCATTCCTGACAACACAGCTCAATTGGAAGGGGACCCAATATCCAAGGCCCAACTGCACTTTTTCCAGACATCCTAAATCAGACGCCCCTTCCTGACAATCGCCAGTTCTGGCCAACCATCCCGTTTCCTGGCCTTAAATCACACGCCGGCTCCACTCACATCTACAGTTTGAGCCTGCAACCCAGCGCCCTGCAGAAAGGCTGGTACCCGCGGCACGCGCACAACGACGCTGTTATCCAGCCACAATTAACAGAGCACTCGAGTGCCGCTACTGTTACGCGTGTTGGTGGAGGGCGGCAGGGTCCCTTCCCCCCCGCTGTGTTATCTCCTACCTAGAACAAGGACGGATCCGGGCCCAGGGAGGGGCTTTCAGCCCTGCCCAGTGCACCCCGCCGAAATCCACTTGCAAGAAGGACTCGGGCACTGTCCGAGCAGGGATCTGGCGACCAGGAAGAGGCGCCCCTCGTGCAAAGCCTTGCTCCATCTCCCCACACCCGCGCCACGGCGGCCCCGGACCCAGGGCAGGCCCCGCGCAGAGAGCAGAGCAACTTGGCGGGC